AGACGGCTTGAATGGGTAATGAAGAAAAACTTTAATATAAGTTTAACATAACAACAAATGCACAACGTTTCGACAAGGTTTTGTCATCATCAGGTACACCATGATGACAAAACCTTGTCGAAACGTTGTGCATTTGTTGTTATGTTAAACTTATATTAAAGTTTTTCTTCATTACCCATTCAAGCCGTCTCCAGCCATTATTAGTCTCAAAGTGGGTTCCTCGTCATCGAAAATATATATAAAGTTATTGAGGACAAAAATTGTTTTATTTATTGCTTGAGAATAATTTACTTTGTTCGATGAAATTGATTTTATCGACTTTGTTTCCTCAGTATCAATAAAATGACTCAAATATAATACGAAAAGATATGGAACGTATGTTCTTTCAAAAAATTCGAAAGAAAAACATAAAACTATTCCTTCTTCAAGTTTTATGATTCATAAAGTGTGCAAAGATATGGCCTTATTCTTAATAGTCTTTGTTTTTCGTTACTTCATTTGTTCTAAGCTATGAAAACTAAAATTAAGAATCAAATAAATATAGCAGTACCATCTCTTGTATGTTCATGTAACTACTTTGTAAGGTGTGGATGGATCTTCACCAAAATTGTTGTGGAGGTTCATTAGGTACATACACATTTTCAGGTTTGCATTTTGTGGTTTTTATGGGCGTTTTTAATTTTTTACCCTACCTCACTTTCTGTAGATGGATCAACTTTAGTGTGGTGGTTCATTGAGTCCATAGCTACAAATTTTCAGTTTTTGTATTTTGTGTTTTGCGGTTTTTTATGGGCGTTTTGTACAATTAAATATAAGGGAAGGAACTTTTCACGTCCTAAGATAACCTTTCATTAATCATGAATTTACATAACTTCCGTCCAGGGGATGGATACTCTAGTTAGTAAGAAATATCGTTCTACAGTAGCAAAGGTTTACTGTCGTCTACATTTGAGTACTATAAAGTGTTACCTTTATATGTCTTTTTTAATATTTAAATAATAATCATCCTCCATTAAAAAGTTTTTGTTCTTTTGTTTGCACTAGTAACTTCAAGAGACTAAAATTCTCCCTATCATTTAAAAAAATAAATCGACATACTATTCTCGTAGAAAAATCTTTCTGATTAAATAGTGAACTCTAATGCAAATATGGGTTACATTTCACTATAAACAGGATTCAACGTTAAAACAATGTAAAATCAAAGACATCGAATAAAAATAGGACTATATTTTGTTTAGAATTACCATTGTTACATCATTTAACTTGACAATAACTTAACTACACTGGTCTTCACGGTTTTCAAAACGAGGCAGGAGTCCCTCAGTTCTTATATTAGGCAAGGGAGTGTCAATGTTAAATAAAGTAGGATTAATATCACATGTTAATACCCATTACGCAAATCGTCTGCTGTGATAAATAACATTCTAAGACGGCTACGTAAGGGACTGCGCATGGATGATCAGTTATAAAACTTGACACAAGTTGCTGGCGATTTGCGTTGGTTTTTATTTAGAATATCTAGATAGAACAAAGTTACTTGAATTCTTAAAATCCGGAGATCGTTTCTCTAGTCTCTCTAGAACCTATTGTGTGTTAAGTCTTAATATTGGTAATTTTAATAATGACTATCAAATCTTCCGAAGTACTACACCCGATAAATCCACCCGAAGTACTACAATTGATAATGTCTATTAAAACCACCTGATGTACTAAAACCGATAATGTACATCTAAGCAACGCGATAATATTTATCAAAATCACCCGTAGCACTACACCCGATAATGTTATACATCAAAACCACCTGGACGACTACGTCCGCTAATGTCTATTATGTTAGTACCTGTTATAACCACCTGAAGTACTACAACCGATAGTACCTGTTATAACTACCTGAAGTACTACACCCGATAGTATCTATTATGACCACCTGAAGTACAACACCCGATAATGTACATCAAAGCCACCTGAACGACTACGTCTGCTAATGTCTATTATATTAGTATCTATTATAACCACCTAAAGTACTACACCCGATAGTACCTGGTATAACCACCTAAAGTACTACACCGGATAGTACCTGGTATAACCACTTGAAGTACTACAACCGATAGTACCTGTTATAACCACCTGAAGTACTACAACCGATAGAATCTATTATAACCACCTGAAGTACTACAACCGATAGTACCTGTTATAACCACCTGAAGTACTACACCCGATAGTACCTGTTATAACCACCTGAAGTACTACAACCGATAGTATCTATTATAACTACCTGAAGTACTACACCCGATAGTACCTGGTATAACCACCTGAAGTACTATAACCGATAGAATCTATTATAATCACCTGAATGACCGTCTATAAAATATCCAAAATATACGTCTGATAATGTCTATTTCACTTCATATCCATGAATTATTTGCGCTGTTACTTTAGCTTTTAATGTGTGGCTCTTTAGCTAGTAAATTAAAGTGTACATAAACATTGTATCTTGCTGCTTTAGCTTTTATGTGTGTGTTTTTTATCCAGTAAACTAGAATATAGAATGTACGCCACGGTTTTACAAAAGGTCCAACACGATATATTAAAACAATGTTGAAAATGCAAATCAGTATGTATCCGACCTACATTTTGACATTGTTTGGCGTTTAGTAGGTAGTGCGATGCCGCTGAAAACTGATTGATTTTGTGAAGAGTATGTAACAAAATATCCGTACGCTGAAATATAACGGTATGTTCAGTTCGAAAGGTTTAAAATTTCCAAGGCGGAAATATATCTTGTATTTGATTACATTGGAAAACGAAGGTCTATGAATTAAATTGGGTAATCAGGGCTATCAAGAAATAGACCTGAAAAAAGTCCTACTTTATCTGTGGTAAGTAAAGTACACGTCTTTTAACAGGTGAAAATCCACGAGCACAATGGTCAGTTGTAAAAGCTGTCCACATGTCCCACATATCAGTATCAATATAATCAATAAGGATCTCAATCTGGAAAAGTGACATAAGTCACATGTGCACAAACTGCTCCCACGACATATCTGTTCAAGCGTCGCATACTTCAAGCAACTGGAGACTAGGATGAGTATTCCTGTTATTCAATACGAAGACATACCAGTCACATCACTGGATGCAACAACCTATGGAGCTCTCTGTGCAATCAGAGTATAGAAACGGTCACTGGGAAACCGTCATTTTCGTACACTGTCATGATTATGGAAATGTAACAGGGAGGAGTGGCGTGCTTTTGACTTGACAGTCTTACAACAGGACCTTTTGCAATGGAAATTACAATTCAAGGCTATCGTAAAGATACAAGGTTGTCTGCTAGAGCGTGACTGAATGTGGAGATGTTCAAAGCTGTTTATTGTTTATTGTAGTTTATTATGTGATTCTTATCTCTATATGAATTACCTAACGCCATATGAAATAATTATATTTATGTGTCAATGATCAAACCGTCACAAATGTAACGTATTTCCTATCTTTTCCAACTTACTGTACAAATGTTATCATGAAAGGAAGATCTGTGACCCTGTTGAGAATATCTGTCATAAGAACAGTGCCTAGTTATTTAAAAGTGAAGTTTTCCAAAGCAGTTTCGGGCACTAATCAAGAACATATTGAAGCGGTCACACTACACACAGCAAAGTATGTGCAATACTTTAATCATACCTGCTTCTTGTGCCAAGAGCAAGCAGAGCTGAAGTTCATATCGAGCTTAGTTTCTTAATGACAAGGCTGCCAGTTGAAAAGCTACTGTATTTGAGTACAACATTAAAAACTCAAGAATATTGATAATTTTTTCCACAACCGCTTCTGCTTATTCCAAGTTTCATTTCAAGTGAAGCTATTGTGTATCAACTGAGCTCTACAAATTATCTATACAAGGGAAATAGAAATTCACTTAAGAAACAGAAAAAATGTCAAGTATGGTATTCAGATGTATTCAGTCTAAAGTTTAGAAAATTCTAATTAATTCATTTCTTGGAAACATCACTATTTAAATTACACATTCTTTACTTGATATCGTTTGTACGTGGCTTTTGGTTCTACAGAGGGCTAATCGTAATACAGAAGATCGACTTTTATATGCTAATAAAATACAGTGTTACTGCAGAAGTAAACCGTGGCACTACCTGTGACATGCTTATAACTTATTTGTTTTCGACGGATCCTTAATTATTCAACATCGAAATCTTGCCAGGATTGGCTTAAAATTAGAAGTAATTGTCACAGCTCTTTCAAAAAAATAATTTCTTTAGCGAGGCTGTTAAACGATGTAAAGCCAAAAGACAGAACATTTTAAAGAAGACAGCTTTCAACGTTCTTCATAGAAAGAGATTAACTCACATAATACCGCCCTTAGGACAGCAACCACAATCCAAGCCAACCCAGAGCAACGCCATCATCGTGAAAATAGTAACAATGGTTACTCACCAATCCATCATGCCATTGTTATGAAATTGGGCATATCTGTTCTTATGGCTAAGAAGATTATAAAAAAAATCATTTGACGAAAGTTCACAAGCCATTTTTATGAACAAAATGGTCGAAGAAACAGAAATCACACCTTTAGATCACAAAACTGTGAAGTCCCTATTGCAGTTCTAATGGACTTTTGTGCCTTTGGTCCGATAAAGCCTGATCTTGGAATCAACGTTCATTAAAGAGTTTATGAAAAATTTATTGATATGTGTGGTCTAAGGTTAAACTCGCCAACTTTTACAGAAACTTCTTAAAATTGAAATTGCTTTGTCAAACAATTAGCATGCAGTCATGGCTGTCAAAGTGAGCTCGATCAAAGATGGAGGAAATATTACCAAGGGTAGCACAGGACGTAGAACACCCTTTTTTATGAAAACCGATTAACACTCAATGTAGTGAACTTGCAGAAAATAACGGTAGGTGTATAATATCACAGCTTTGCAATTTTATTTCTTTGTTATTGTTATTTAGGGAACATTTATCCAAAATAGTATGAATTTTATTGAAATATGTTACACTTATTTCACGTGTCTTGGTTCTGTACGCTTCAAACAGAAGTACTTGTTATAGCAAAAATAAGTCAAGGAGAATCATTCCAATATTTTGCACCATTTGCGGACGAGCGTGAATATGAACAGCAAAACCTCGACTATTTTGTTGTTGTTATTGAACAACTTGAACTTAAGGTAAGTACTTTGAATATTTTATGATTAGAAAGTAGATATATAATGGGAATTCACTTTGATAATTTCAAATATTGACCGTCTTACCCTATACAAATGACGCATATTTCCACTATAGACTTCAGCTGCAATGTCCAACACTAGTACTCAAGTGGTCCGGCATGGCCAGGTGGTTAGGGCTCTTGACTCGCAATCCCCGTTCCACCAAATATGCTCGCTCCTTCAGCCATGGGGGCATTACAATGTGACGGACAATCCCACTATTCGTTAGTAAAAGAGTAGCCCAAGAGTTGGCGGTGAGTGGGGATGACTAGTCTTTCACTGCTAAATTAGGGATGGCTAGCGCAGACAGCCCTCTTATAGCTTTGCGCGAAATTCAAAAACAAACGAAACAAAGTACTCAAGTTTTTTTGCGCCATTGTCATAGCTAATATATATCTCGTGCATGGCCTTCCACCAACCATGCTTGGAGCATTTAAAGAATCATTTAAGATAATTACATGCAGTTTCTAAATGCAGAATATTTAAAAAAATTGCAATTTTTATCAGTTGGATGAGGGCCATTTTATCCCATCTTGGAGATCCAATCTTATAGGTAAAACGGCCCTCAATCACGACAAGTGCATTTTTTCACTATTTAGAAATATGTATATATATCCAGTCTTTGTTTTAACTAGAAATGACATTTATAGTAAAATGGATTTCATTTTAAAACCTTTATTTTTTTTCATGACATTCAGATTAATTGATGAAAACCGTATTCAAAGCTTAAGTGGCCGTCTTATCTAACCATCTCCTGGTAATAAATTAAGACATAAGTCTCAAAGTCTAGAATCCCCATACGAGTATAATAAGCAACTCTGTATATGAATTTCAACATATATGGTTCTAACAATTTTATATACGATTTAATGGTGTAATACCCTTTATAATATTATTAAAATTACATTTTTGTTCTGGTTTAAAATGCACGAAAAGATATTTTCTACGTTTTTTTTCATTAATTTTCCATATAAATCTATCCATGAGTCGAATCAAACTCACGTCCACTGTTTTAAGCAAATATTTCGAAGTTCGTGAGTAATTTTCTAAAGATGTGCTGATTCTACTTCATTAATGTAATAGAAGGGGCCAAACGTGAATGGAGAGACGGTATTTTCCATCAAGAACCCCTTGCCGTTCTACAAACATTCCATACGTTTAATCATCTATGCACATTTATTTCTAGCTTCAAATTCCATTTGCTCAAATATGCCATCAACTAATTTCTGTGAGGCATTCAAGGGTTCTAGATCAAGTGTTAGAGCATGATTTAAGAACGTGGCTTAGTCACGTGGATTCGTTGTTTTACGTATGCAATCTTTAGAAAATAAATCTACAACAGGAGAAAACAAAAACTAACAAACAAAATGATAATAAAGAAGAATCATGGTGCCAAAGGGACTGTGAAATGAAATAATTTTGTAAAATATTATTTTAAAACCTCAGATTTAACTTGGATTAATTCGCATCTTAACTCAAACGATAGTAAAAAATATATAATAAGTAACATAATTAATCGAATGATTAGTTGATCATTTTAGAACAAAGCTACATTGGGGGCGTGTCCCCCGCGTGGAATCGAACCCTCGATTTGAGTGTTGTAAGGGGGCACATTTACTGCTGTTCCATCGGGAGACTGATCGAATGAAGTTAAGTAAAACTAAGCAAGTATACGAAGTAATCACATCAAAATAACTTATTTTCATTTTAAGCTTTAAACAGATTTTCTGTCGAAAAAATGCGTTGTAAATATTAATGAAATAAGTGCCGGTTTTCTCACTTATGAATTTGTTTGTCCAACTAACGTATGTCTGAATATTTGTATTACCTGGATCGCCGATAAGTTACAGACCGTGAAAATGTTATGGTTCTATATTTTATACTTCTCAAAAGTGGATACTATAAATAACCCAAAAACATCAACATTATTCTGCGACGTCTTTAGCCTACTCGGTTCGCCAGATTAAAGCGTTCTACACCATTACATTGAATTCAGGACTATATATAAATCGCTTTTTATACACAAGTTGGCTGTCAGACTACCTTATGAGCTCTAGAATTGAGCATTAGACCATAACAGACAAAAGATGGTTAGGGCACTGTAGACTGTTTTAGTTCGAAATAAGGCTATTACAATCTTGTGTTTGAAACATTAATAGTACCACATAAGGATTCGTCATGCACGTGAGGCGAGAGCAGTCCATTCATTAGAGTGTCTGAATGTGGATCCGAGGTTTCGTAGTTTCCGTCCCGTTACCGCCAAGAAAAAAATAAAAATCACGCTTTGCACTTTATGGTAGAGGGTGCGTTAAAAGAGTTACCATGATCCTCCACTATTCGATTAGAGTAGCCCACGAGTGGGAGGTGGGTGGTGTTGACTAGCTGCTTTCCCTCCAGTCTATCACTTCAAAATTATAGACGACGAGTACAGATAATCCTCAAGTAGCATATAGCTTAATAGAGTTTTTCAGTTTAAGGTTGATTAACACGAAATGTTTTGGATGAGTAGTATTCTATAGACTCTATCTGGTTCTTCGGGAGTTGGAGTCGAGGTTTTCGTTGTATTTGTATATTCATTATGTTATTTCTCAAGCCGGAGCGACCCGAATATCATTCATTAAAAGCCTTAATAATCGATAACAACATTTGTTGTCCCGCGGCTTTAGAAATATACATGTTATTTGGTAATAATTTATTAAGTAAGGAAAAACCGACATTTTTCTAAAAAATATAAAAATTGTGCTTTCATTCAACTAATAGTTTACAAACCATTTGGCAAATACACAGTGGACTAAGAATATTTCTCACTACCTGAACTAAGTGACTTCCTCAAAAGACTTCCTCCGGATCATTAAATTTTGTTTTACTACTATTCGTAGATTAAGGAATCTAAAATAACACAATTGTTTGTAGGCCCATAGAGGTGGCAGAACGCAGCATAAAGATTCTAGAACACAGCACAAATAAGTCAGAACGTAGTAAAGGATCCTAGAACACAGCAAAATAGGCAGAACATAGTATAAAAATCCTAGAACACAACACAAATAGGCAGAACGCAGTATAAAGGTCCTGGAACACAGCACACATAGACAGAACGCAGTATAAATGTCCTAGAACACAGCACACATAGACAAAACGCAGAATAAAGGTCCTAGAACACAGCACAAATAGGCAGAACGTAGTATAAAAATCCTAGAACACAGCACACATAGACAGAACGCAGTATAAAGGTCCTAGAACACAGCACAAATAGGCAGAACGTAGTATAAAATTCCTAGAATACAGCACACATAGACATAACGCAATATAAAGGTCCTAGAACACAGCACAAATAGACAGAACCAGTGGCGTAACTACAAAAGATGGTCTCCCCGCATAAAAAGTAATTAGGCCCCTACATTTATTCCTCTTGTCGGCAATTCGTAAGTTTGTCAGCTCCTTCCCCCCTCCTTTGGCTCGTTTCCCCGGAATTGCGGGGGCATATTTACGCCATTGGGCAGATCGTAGCTCAAATAAGAATATATATATATATACATATATAACATAAAGATCTTATAACATAGGCTATTTTGTAGTTGGAACACTGAACATTCATCATGTTTTTTTTTCTTTATTTAAGGTTTAGCGTTCATGTGACAAATCCTTGTGTAGCTGAAGAAATGTTTGAACACGTGCAAAAAAGTATCGAAAGTACACAGACAAAATACGGAAAATAGAAAATTGAAATTATAAAGATTATTAGTTCCACTTACGGGGTAATTAATATCGTATATATTTTCATCATCATCATTATTATTAGTTTCACTTCCGGGGTAATTAATATCGTATATATTTTCATCATCATCATTATTATTAGTTTCTCTTCCGGGGTAATTGATATCGTATATATTTTCATCATCATCATTATTATTAGTTTCACTTCCGGGGTAATTGATATTGTATATATTTTCATCATCATCATTATTATTAGTTTCTCTTCCGGGGTAATTAATAACGTATATATTTTCATCATCATCATTATTATTAATTTCACTTTCGGGGTAATTGATATCGTATATATTTTCATCATCATCATTATTATTAGTTTCTCTTCCGGGGTAATTGATATCG